CACTTCTCCTGCTTTCCTAACCCTCTGACCTTTGACTTTGAGTCTCATTTGGTTGTTTTGTTGTGTTTTCAAGCTGCAAGAGTGGTTCAGTTTTAGACCTGAAACAGGGTGACTAAGGGCCACGGTCTCAGGAGTCTTCTCTCTCTTTTTGGCCATTAGCTGTTTCCAGGACTGGGTTTCGTTCCATAGGTTTCTCCTACTCTATTCAGGACCATACAATGTAATCCTTTTTAGAGGAACCAACATAATTTCTTATATTATTGTTCATTTATTTAATATGTAGTTTTATCTTAGATGTTGTGATATTTTAAATAAATTGTTATGTGTGGTTTCTAGGAAAATGAAATCAAGGGATTCCATATCTAGTGTTAATATTTTTTTGGCAAAAAAAAAATTACCAAACTAGGTGAAAAATGATTTTTCCTGTTCTCTACCTAAAATTGAATGGACATAATGAGATAATTGAGGGCTACATGATTCATAAGTTGATAATTTTTATGTGACTGTCATAAAATTAGAGATTTTCATTGTTGAAGTTATCTGAATCAGCCCTAGGTTTGTAGCATTCCCTTCCTCATACTATGTGTTGTTATTGGTAGGTTCAGCCTCCTAGTGATCCTATATACAGCAAAACAAGCATTGCTTGATCCTGTGCCAACCTCATGATTGTTGTTTGAGGGCCATTGTTGAAATCAGTTACTCCGCATCTTGAGGGTCTTCCTCTTTTACCCTGAACTTTACTATATTAGGCATGATGTCCATCTAAAGGGATTGATACTTCCTGGTGCTTCTAGTACATATTTTCTAAACATTTGCTTTCTATTTGAGCCCTTGGTATCAGCCCTCTTTTTTCCTTCCCTCCCTCCCTCCTGACTCCTTGATAAATTATAATTTTCGTATCTTTTACTGACCACTGTCTGCCTTCACCCCCCATTTCTGTTGTTCATGGGGGTAGGGCGTTAATGCTTCGATCATTGGCAATCAGTTCCCCCTACCTCCTCAGCTCTCCCCACCTTCCCCCAACCCTCCTTGTATTGCTACTCCCATTTCTGTACCTGAGGGGTTTATCCGGCCTGGATTCCGTGTGTCCTGAACTCTTATCTGTACCTGTACCCCAGTATACCTTCTCCAGAACTAGCCAGAACTGAAAGACAGGACTAGGGTCATGATAGTGGAGGGTGAGGAAGCCTCAAAGAACCAGAGGAATATTGTGTGTTTCATTGGTGCAATACTGCTCCTGATTGACTCATCCTTTCCTTGTGACCCTTCTGTGAGGGTATGTACTATTGTCACAGATGGGTTTTGGGTCTCTGTGCCAAACCTCGTTCTCAACAATATATATTTTTTGTTTTTGTTTTGGGTCTTCTGATGCCTGTTACCTGATTCTGTTGACACCTCATGATTGCACAGGCTGGTGTGCTTCTTCCATGTGGGCTTGTTGCCTCCCTGCTAGATGACTGCTTGTTT